CCTGAGCCTTTAAATGGTCTCTCAGTCTGGTTCAGTAGGAATTACAATCATGGGAAAGACTGCTGACCTGACAGTTGTGCAGAAAACCATCATTGACACCCTCCATAAGGAGGGAAAGCCTCAAAAGGTAATTGCAAAAGAAGTTGGATGTTCCCAAAGTGCTGTATCAAAGCACATTAATAGAAAGTTATATGGAAGGGAAAAGTGTGGAAGAAAAAGGTGCACAAGCAGCAGGGATGACCGCAGCCTGGAGAGGATTGTCAGGAAAAGGGCATTCAAAAGTGTTGGGGACTTTCACAAGGAGTGGACTGAGGCTGGAGTCAGTGCATCAAGAGCCACCACACACAGACGGATCCTGGACATGGGCTTTAAATGTCGTATTCCTCTTGGCAAGCCGCTCATGAACAACAAACAACGTCAGAAGTGTCTTACCTGGGTTAAAGAAAAACAGACCTGGTCTGTTGCTCAGTGATCCAAAGTCCTCTTTTCTGATGAGAGCAACTTTTGCATCTCATTTGGAAACCAAGGACCCAGAGTATGGAGGAAGAATGGAGAGGCACACACTGCAAGATGCTTGAAGTCCAGTGTGAAGTTTCCACAGTCTGTGTTGATTTGGGGAGTCATGTCATCTGTTGGTGTTGGTCCACTGTGCTTCACTAAGTCCAGGGTCATCGCAGCCGTCTACCAGGAGATTTTGGAGCACTTCATACTTCCTTCCGCAGATGAGCTTTATGGGGATGCTGACTTTATTTTCCAGCAGGACATGGCACCTGCCCACACTGCTAAAAGAACCAAAACCTGGTTCAATGACCATGAGATTACTGTGCTTGATTGGCCAGCAAACTCGCCTGACCTGAACCCCATAGAGAATCTATGGGGCATTGCCAAGAGAAAGATGAGAGACATGAGACCTAACAATGCAGAAGAGCTGAAGGCCGCTATTGAAGCATCCTGGTCTTCCATAACACCTCAGCAGTGCCACAGGATGATAGCTTCCATGCCACGCCGCATTGAGGCAGTAATTGCTGCAAAAGGGGCCCAAACCAAGTACTGAGTACATATGCATGCTTATACTTTTCAGAGGTCCAATATTGTTCTATGTACAATCCTTGTTTTATTGATTGCATGTAATATTCAAATTTTCTGAGATTGTGGATTTGGGGTTTTCATGAGCTGTAAGCCATAATCATCACAATTATGACAAATCATGGCTAGAACTATCTTGCTTTGCATGTAATGAGTCTATCTCATATATTAGTTTCACCTTTTAAGTTGCATTACTGAAATAAATTAACCTTTGCACGATATTCTAATTTTTCGAGTTTCACCTGTATACCTGAGTACAGATGGGTACAGCCATTCACTTCTATGGCCAGCAGTATACACCACCTGTGGCACCTGGGGCAGAGAAAAAGCTGTGATTTTGTGCTCAAGTAGAATTTAAACCTCAGACTGTCCATGTGCATGGGCCCTGTCAAAGTACATTCTCCCTTTAAGGTTTATTTACCTTTGTTAGCCAATTATGTACAAAGGAAATTCCTGCTTTTTAAACTCCTCTGCATATGATTGGGTGTTCAAAGTGCACTTGGCTTACTGAAATATGTAATTCTTGTAAATCATTCCTAGTCTTTATGGCATTTTGTGCTGCCAGTACCTATATAGTTGCCAACGTGTTAAAAAATTCCAGGGACAATTGCTGAGCTTGTGTAGTTTATTCATTTACTGTCTTATATGATCACAGATCAATACAGTTCTATTTACATTAGTTATACTTTAGAATCATTTTAAAAACCAATTATACCATTAACCACTTCAAGTTTGGACACTTTTACCCCCTTCTTGTCCAGGCCAATTTTCAGCTTTCAGCGCTGTCACACTTTGAATGACAATTGCGCTGTCATGCAACACTACCCATATCAAATTTTTTAGCATTTTTGTGAAACAGATAAAACTTTATTTTGGTGGTATTTATTCACCACTGGGAGTTTTACTTTTTTTTGCTGTATAAATTAAAAAGTCCAAACATTTTTTTAACCACTTGAGCTCCTGAGGATTTACCCCCCTTAATGACCAGGCCTCTTTTTGCTACTCGGCGCTGCACTAATTCAACTGATAATTGCGCGGTCATGCAATGCTGCACCCAAACGAAATTTACGTCCTTTTTTTCACACAAATAGAGCTTTCTTTCGGTGTAATTTGATCACCTGTGCGCTTTTTATTTTTCACGCTATAAACAAAAAAAGGCCAAAAATTTTGAAGAAAAACAATATTTTTTACTTTCTGCTATAAAAAAAATATATAGTAAACTCAAAGTTGGTTATAAATTTTGGCCAAAATGTATTCTGCTCCATGTTTTTGGTAAAAAAAATCCCAATAAGTGTATATTGATTGCTTTGTGTGGAAGTTATAGCATCTACAAACTATGGTATAAATACTGCAATTTACGCCATTTTTCTGCTATACAGCGCTGCGCTAGTTTAACGGACAATTGCGCGCTCATGCAATACGGTACATAAATGAAATTTACATCCTTTTTTTTCCCCACAAATTGAGCTTTCTTTCGGTGGTATTTGATCGCCTGTGCGGTTTTTATTTTATGCGCTATAAAAAAAAAAAAGTCTGACAATTTTGAGGAAAAAAAAACAATATTTTGGACTTTTTGCTATAAAACATGTCCAGTAAAAAAAAATGCAAAAATCAAATTTAGTCATAAATTTCTGCCAAAATGCATTCTGCGACATGTCTTTGCTAAAAAAAAATCCCAATACGTGTAAATTAATTGGTTTACGTGAAAGTTATAGCGTTTACAAATGGCGGGAAAGATACTGGGATTTAAAATTTTTTATTTATACTAATAATGGCGCCGATCAGCGACATATTGCGGCAATCAGCGACATATGACGGCGACCAGCGACTTATGGTGGGACTGCGGGACTGCGGCGGACATTTTGACACTGGGGGGGGAACTGACTTGGGGTCACTGACATCCCCAGTGACACCAATACAGTGATCAGTGAAAAAAAAACACTGAACCTGTACTAATGTCACTGGGGAGAAAGGGGTTAATATTTTTAGAATTTGCTGTGTAAGGGGAGTGTTTTACTAGGGGGGGGGGGGGGGTGTATTGGACGGGGGGAGGGAGGGGGGAGCTAATCGAGGGAGAGAAACTCTTCTCTCCCTCTGCAGCTTGTCGGCGAACTGTCACAGAGCAGGCTGTGTGTAAACAATGCAGCCCTGCTCTGTGTCAGTGATTACCGCTCATCGCGGGAAACCGGCCGGTAAAAACCGGCCGTGACCCGGCGGCGGAGACCCGCTGCCGACACCCGCGGGAGAAGCAGGGCTGGCGCGCGCCTTGCGCGCGCCCCCTACCTGTTTTGAAGGCAGCCGTTTTAAAACGTGCTTTTGCCTACGAGCGCCGCCCTGCCACCGTTTATATGCGGTGGCTGGGCGGCATGTGGTTAAAAAAGTGTTTTTCTTATAAAAGTTTGCAAATAAATAATCTTTTCTTCATAAATCTTGGCCAAAATGTATTCAGCTATCTTTTTTAGTAAAAAAAAATAACCCAAATTAGTTTATAACCAATAATTATAATTTTTCAAAAATGTTTTTTACATTTTTATTTTATTTTTTTTATATTATTATTTTTTTTTATCATACTGTCACCCTAGCAGTACAGTGTCACCATAGTGTAAAGTGTTTACCAGACACTTCCCCAACTCTCCATTCTGAAAGATCTTATTGTGTGCTTGCAGCTGCTGAAAGGAGAAGGAAGCTGGCAGCACTGTGATGGTGGGAGCACACAGGGGACCTGGGCAGCAGGGGGAAACGTATATTGCACAAGAAGGGTGATGGGTGCGGTGGGGGACAATTACTGGAATCGATCCCCTGTATGGCCCTCTGCAACAGCTGAAAGCCAGCAGGAGGGAGAGGAGAAGAAGCCAACTTTCAGCTCCTGCAGAGACTCATACAGGGGATCAGTTCCGGTAATTACTCCCTCCCACCATACCAATCACCCTCCCTGCCCACATCCAATTCATCCAGCTGCCTGGGCCCCCATGCTGGCCTGGGCCCTGTACACAAGAACTGGTGGTACCCCCTTATCCATGCCCCTGACTCCCATCCCTGTAAACTAATACATCTGCAACAGAGCTTGTTCTTTTATAAAACAACAGACTTACTGGCCGGATCACCAGATGAACATAAATGAAAGAAAACTAATGCAGCCATCACATCTAAGAAATGGTAAGCTGCAGTGTAACAAATGTTTGCTTTTGGGTTTAATACCGCTTTAACAGCTGAAGTAATGCACTCTCTTGACTTTTTGTGTCTCTGCAGGGACACTGTTTATAGTTTATCATGGCACACTGCAATTCAGATTGTTAAAGAAAGAGAGAAGTATATCTTGGATCCCTTAATAAAGTAGCAAGCGTTCTCTATTTTATTTGAACTTTTTATTGATTTCAGGGTACTGAAAGTTGGAGATTGTCTCCAGATTGTACTTGTTCTGAGTTTATTCTAGGGCAAGGTATTTGTAAGCATGTTTTCATCTTGAAACTGCTTCTCATCTTTATTTTGTGATATCTGTTAATGCATCCTCTGTTCTCATTGACTTTAGTTTAGACACCGTTTCTGAATGTCAGATTGGTATCTATAGTGATTTTCTTTTCCATTATTGCAGGTTCATTTGGGGGCATAGGGAGGGATTGGCTTTTTATCTTGAAAGATTGATTCTTCTGCGCAAATGTTAAAGTACAACTAAAGGCTGTTTGTCTATAACTAAAAATTGTCAGCGACACTTCTGAACATTAGAATAAGCAAGCTTTTTAAACCACTAGCCTACAGGGCACTTATACCCCCTTCCTGCCCAGGCCAATTTTCAGCTTTCAGTGCTGTTGCACTTTTAAGCACAATTGCGCGGTCATGCAACATGGTACCCATATGAAATTTGTTTGAGACAGATAGAGCTTTCTTTTGGTGGTATTTAATCACATCTGGGTTATTTATTTTTTTGCTAAACAAACCAAAAACAATTGAAAATTAAAAAAATAATAATTTTTTCTTAGTTTCTGTTATAATTTTTTTTTTTATATAAGTGATTTTTCTCCTTCACTGATGTGCGCTAATGAGGCTGCACTGATGGGCACTGATAGGCGGCACTGATGGGCACTGATGAGGAGGCACTGGTAGGTGGTACTGATGGGCATTGACAGGCATCACTGATGGGCACTAAAAGGCAGCACTCATATATGGCACTGATAGGCGCCACTGATAGGTGGCACTGATAGGCAGCACTGGCTGGCACTGTTAGGTGGCACTGACTGGCACTGTTAGGCGGCACTGATAGGTGGCACTGATTGGCAGCACTGATAGGTGGCACTGAAAGGAAGCTCAGATGGGCACTGATATGTGGCATTGATCTGCACTGGTAGGCACTGATATGTGGCATTGATGTGGCACTGCTGGGCACTGGCAGGTGGCATTGATAGACACTGACAAGTGGCACTGATGGGGCTACACTGAACATCAGTGCCCTGATGATCAGTGTACATGTCCCCTCTGAGGAATGCCGATTACCAACTCTCCTCGTGAGCTGGCAGCGTGACATCTCATGAGGATAGGAATGCCGATACCCGGCATTTCCTTATTTACATGTGATCAGCTGTGATTGAACATAGCTGATCACATGACAGAGCCAACGTCTTCAGCTCTTTCCGTTGATCGGTGATCCGCTGTGTCCCATCACCGATCGCCCCACGCTGCGTGCCCTCGGGGGCACGCACGCGTGGTTAGAGTGGGAGGACGTCATATGACCAGAACGAGAGAACCGCCTTGCGCCCGTCATTTCCTTATATGGTGGGCAGGAGGCAGTTAAAATAAAATTTATCACCTTGATTTAACCCCTTCATAATCAGATACTTGTACCCCCATCCTGGCCAAGCCTATTTTCAGCTTTTGGCGCTGTCGCACTTTAGTCATGCAACACTTTACCCATAGTAAATTTTTGAAAGTTTTTCACACAAATAGAGCTTTCTTTTGGTGGTACTTGATCGCGACAGGATTCTTTATTTCTTGCTATATAAACAAAAAAACATTGAAAATTTTGAAAACCTTCAAGCTCTCTGACCTTTGATAATGATGGATGTTATAAGATATATATTGCTAATAGATGCACTCTGTTGGACTCTTTCTTTTTTCTTTATGGAGTTACAGCTTTCTCGCTACCCCATCTTCTCTCTTTTCTCTTCTTTGTCCAAGTTCTTTTGGATTGTTTTCTCCCTGTATACTGTTTACTTCTTTTTATGTTTAATTTGTGTTTTGTTGGGCAACAACCGTGCATTTGTTTTAATTTTTGGTGTAGTATCAGCATAATATTTTCTATCCTTTTGTATTAAATTTGCTGTGTATAGTCGGAATAATTTTTGACATGTATATGATTGTATTTCTCCTAATGTCACGGTCGCTTATTCTTTGTTATTATCTTTGAAAAAAACTTGAATAAAAACGAATTGAAAGAAAATTTTGAAAACCCCCACATCTATCTTCATTTGTTATAAAATTTTGCAAATAGATAATCTTTCTTCATAAATTTAGACCAAAATGTATTCTGCTTACGTCCTTTAGGTAAAAATAACCCAAATCAATGTATATTATTTAGTTTGTAGTAAAGTTATAGAATCTACAAACTATGGGATTTATATTTGAAAATAGAACAATCTTTATATACTGATGGTCTATCTCATTTCTTGAGATGCCAGGACAGTGCAAATATCCTACAAATGACCCCTTTTTGAAAAGTAGATAGTCCAAGGTATTTAGTGAAAGTTGAAGTTGTAATTTTTTTGTCACAATTTTATGAAAATGAAGAAATGTAAAACATTTGCTTTTTTTTTCCCTCACAATTTTTTTTTTCACATATTGTCACCAGTGCAGTACAGCACCATCATATAACTGGTGTGGCAGTGATCAGGGACACTGATTGATGACAGTACGAGGAAAAAAAATCATATATTTTTTCAATTTTTCTTTGTTTTTTTTCTTTACTTTTTTTTTTACAATTTTTATTTTACATACTGGGACCAGGGCAGTACAGTGTTACCAGAGTAACACTGTACTACTCTGTTAGGTGATTGGGATTTTTTTTTTTTTACACACTGTGTTCACTTATAACAGTGATAATCACTGTTATTAGCAGCCATTTCTTATGAATGAATCCATTCATATCAGTGTGTATTGTTTGTGTGTATTGTTGTGATTGGCCACAGCTAATCACATGGTACAGATGGGCTGTATTGGCCCTGTCTGTACCATGTAATCACTGTGACTACTTACAGCAAGGAACACAATAGTACACAATGAACGGCTATGAATGGAAGCCATCCATTGTGTACAATTACCATGTGATCTGCTGTGATTGGCCACAGCGATCACATGGTACCGGCAGTGGTCCAGTACACTGATCATAGTACAATAGCCTGGATGGGAAGCAGTTAAAGTTACACTAAACAATTTGAAATGAGCAGTGGTCATATGCACTGCTCTATGCACACAAAAATTCCTATGTGGGCAGCACAGTGGTTAAATGGTTAGCACTTCTGCCTGGTAGTACTAGGGTTGTTGGTTCAAATCCCAACCATGGCACCACCTGCCTGGAGTTTGAATATCCTCCCTGTGCCTGCATTGGTTTCCTCCAGTTTCCTCCCACACTCCAAAGACATGCTGGTAAGTTAATTGGCTCCTCTCTAAATTGGCCCTAGTGTATATATATGTATGAATGTGAGTTATGGACCTTAGATTGTACACCCCTTGAGGGTCAGGGACTAATGTGAAAGTGCAATATATATGTAAAGTGCTGCATAAATTGACAGCTCTATATAAGTACCTGAAATAAATAAAATAGTCCATCTCAGGAGTGAGCAAGAGAGGGTGGCTACATTCCTACATACAATTTGAAAAATTGAGAATGAATGTAGCCACCCTCTAACAGGACATCAGATCACAGCAGCAAAATAAAACAACAACAATAAAAAAAAAAAAAATAGGAAAGGCTCAGAGCAATAGAAAGTACTTTTATAAGTTGAGAATAAATACTTACAGTAAATAGATTTTTTTTTTAAACCAGAATTTAGTGTCAAATGTAATCTTTATAATGAGCCCTGTCACTTGTCTGACATGTTACTGATACTAGGTCAATTTCATGTGACGTGCCAGCTGCTGCCTAAACTACATGTCTCATGACCACTCGCTGCATGCTGCTCAAATCTGTCATTGTCTTTAGCAAGAGCTGTCAATGTCATAGACCGCAGTCAGGGCTAGGTGTGAGCCCCCACTAACTGACAACCTAGGGGCTTGTTAATCAGCAGTGAGTACACTGATAGACCTGCTCCCAGAGATGTAACTGCATTGCATTGTAGTACAAGCAGGCACAGTGGATCTGGGGGGGTTATGGATAGTGATGGTTTAGCATTGGCTCCCCCTAATAAAGTAAGTAGAGGGGAATTGTTTGCCTGGCAGGATCATGAATTTGTCACATTGCTGCCTTTTATAGTTAGGCCTCATACACTTGGGCACATTTGCCATGCAGGGATAAGACGCTTGTGTATTTCTGGTGTCCAGGATGTCTTATACCCTGTTTCCCCGAAAATAAGACAGTGACTTATATTAATTTTTGCTCCCAAAGATGCGCTAGGTCTTTTTTTTATTTTCAGGGGATGTCTTATTTTTCCATGAAGAAGAATATGGTACACATATATTGTTAAATGAAAATAAAATAAAGCTTTTTCTTTTTGCGCTCATTTCTATGGGTAAAAAAAAAAAAGAACTGGGGTATCAGGGTGGGGGGAGGGGGATCACTTAAAATGACACAGGGGAGATCAGAGGGGGGAATCAAAATGGTACAGGAGAATCAGAGGGGGGATTACCATTTTAGTAACCCCTTTTGATCCTCCTGTGTCATTTTGATTGTCCCCTCTGATCCTCCTGTGTCATTTTGATTGTCCCCTCTGATCCTCCTGTGTCATTTTGATTGCCCCCTCTGATCCTCCTGTGTCATTTTGATTGTCCCCTCTGATCCTCCTGTGTCATTTTGATTGCCCCCTCTGATCCTCCTGTGTCATTTTGATTGCCCCCTCTGATCCTCCTGTGTCATTTTGATTGCCCCCTCTGATCCTCCTGTGTCATTTTGATTGCCCCCTCTGATCCTCCTGTGTCATTTTGATTGCCCCCTCTGATCCTCCTGTGTCATTTTAAGTGACCCCCCTCCCCCCACCCCCTGTGCCACTGAACACCTTCACCAGACATCCCCCCCCCCCCACCCCTTTATCAGACATTTCCACCCTGGGGCCTGCCTGGGGACTGTCACTGGGCTGGCTGGGGCCTGAACCTGGGCTGGAGCAGGGTCTGCCACTGACTGAGAACCTTCAGTCATCATGAGGGCGGTGTCACCAGAGACAGACCAGCACTCACCACCTTCGCCGCCTCCTGTCCGCTCTGATCCTCCTGTTCTTCGACACGCATCTCTCTCCCCGCTCACTCTGACCTCCGCTCCGCCTCCACACAGCAGTGACGTCACTGGTTGCTAGAAGCCAGTCGGGGCGGCCCTAGCAACCAGTTTACGGTAAATTAATTTTCATTACGAGACAGAGCCTAGGGGGGCCTTATTTTTTTTCGGGGGATGCCTTATATTTCACTCAGAAGGAAACCTGTAAGTGGGTCTTATTTTCGGGGAAACACGGTAGCTGCGTACAGCCGCCCATAGACATGCATGGGTGAAGGCGGCTGTATGAAGCTATGCGCTGCGATTTGCATAAAGTAGCAAACATAATGCACCATGTGGCACACATTAATTTTCAGTGGGGGCAGTAAAAGCACATATGTTTTTAACGCTGCCCCCCCCATCGCTTAAGCTGCAAAGGCAGTGACAAGGGGGTACACCTACTGCAGCTGTGATGCTTTGCTTCACAGCCATGGCAGGAATTATACCACCTATTGCATAGGGCGGGCATTGCCACCTGCCAAACTTGACCCGTTCAAGTGAATAGGGCTGGTCTGCGACTGTCTCACAACCTCATTTAATGCATGTGGTTTTGGAGCAGTAGTGAGGCATTTAGGGTATTAAAACAGGTGGTAAGAAGGTGACACATTGCCACCTGTCAAATGCCTCTGAAAAGTGATCCAAGTGCAAATCGCTTTTTGGAGGAGTGGCAGTCTTTGCCACAAGTATAAATGTTACCACAATTCAGCCTGTTGTGAACAGGCCATGAAGACTGCTTTGTCATGAATATCTGTCTCCTTTCACAACCTTACTGCTGCCATTTACTAAAACAAACCCTACATATGTCACATATGTCCATAAATTACTTCCTATGCATTTTATTTACAGTGGAGAAGTCCTCTTGTTGATGGGATTTTTAAGGCACACATTAGACCAAAAAGTGTTCTAACAAATAATTTAAAAGAAAACAGTATTTTATTTGTACAATCTTATAAAAGACATATACAGTATTTTATGGCGTATAAGACTACTTTTTATACTTAAAAATATACCCCAAAAATTGGGGGTCGTCTTATACGCGGGGTATAAAATGTGAACCTTGAGTTTGTTTGGGTCAAGCTGGCTGGATGTGTGGTAATACTGTACAT